GGATTTGTTGATGTATGTTATTATTTGTATCAGGTGATGATCTTGTTGGTGGAGGATCAGGGATTTCAGCCAATAATGCTATGGCTATACCAGGCATGGAGTCTACAGCAGAGACAATGGATTACGATGATGGGTTTGATTATGGTAAGCGCTATTATTGATAATTAATCATAATATTTTAGAATACATGTATGCATTTGGTATTGGACAAGTCTATATGTTATGCATTTGATGGTACTAAAGGGCTATTGATAGTTTTCATCCATTCCCGTGAGATTCAAAAGATAAAAGACCGGTGGCCATGTTGGAGGAATGAACAGTAGATTCTAACGAGAAATCCTTTGTTGAAGCTCCTCCAAGATGGCCGCTGTGACAAAACCTGAAAACGAAGAATTGCCAACTGTTATGAGCTTCTGTTTGATTCAACTTCAAAATTCATAGTAATATAAACGGACATTTCTTCCTGACCTCGTGAAAGGCTCAAATTACTAAATGAACTAAGACATCACCAGACTTCTACTCGGTAAAAAGGCAAACGTTGGCGTAGGACATAAAAACTCAGGGAAGCCAAGCCTGTCAAATCCCCACCCTTGGCTGGCGTTAGACCATGCAGGTTTAGCATAGATAGCTGTATAAAAAGGAAATGGATGCAACTCTGTGGCCCAAAATAATGGCCAAATAGTTACTGTACGTGTGGTAATGAACAATCTTCGTACAATAAGGTGAATGATTTCTTTCTTTCAGCATCTCTGCCGGGATTTAAAGGTGCTCACAAGAATGAAATAGAATCTCGATCAGGAGGTCCTGATAAGCCTGCCATTCCTGGATTTTCTTCCAAACCACAACTACCGCCTTTTGCCCAAGCAGGAGGAGACATGCCACCAAGATTTGGTCCAGGTTTTGATCCTGGTCGTGCACCACCTTTCAGACCACGTGGTGACGTTGGATTTGAGATGCATCACAGACCAGATAATCCAGGTTAATAAATTGAAGTGTGGGTTTATCAAAGTTAGCTGCTCAGTCTTTCTTTCATAATTTCCAATGACTAAATGAAATAAAATTTAATCTGGGCCTCAGGATAACCGAGTATAAATCAAACGCAGATCCAGGGGGTGTACACTATGATTACTTACAATTTGTTGTCGATTTTTAAGGGTTATTGTCAACCAGGTTACACAATATTGTACATGTAGTTGTCTTGGGATTTTGACATAGTGCAGTAAATAGCGAGAAAGATATAAATCAAACTTGTGCTACGCGGCTCATGCAATCAATAGAAGTAAAATGCTTTAGCACTTTTTTTCTCTGTAAAGGTCATGAAATCATTCATAAAATGTTTACATGTTAATATTTTCTAGGCCCTAGAAGAAAAGAAGAGCAAGATCGACCTTGGGAACCACATAAACAACCAAACATGAAGTTTCAGCCGGGGCCACATCCCGATGAACCAGGACCRGAGAACTGGGGTCCTCCAAGAGAGCCGCCCYCTATGGACAATAGAGGTCCCAGGGGTAATGACCCTCGATTTGGCCCAGGGCAGGACTTTCAGAGAGATCATCGGCCACCACATTTCAAACGAGGACCAAAGAATCAAGGAGAGAGAAGAGATGGCATACTTGGATCTCCTCCTCATGGCAAACCAGATATGTGGACACGCCCACCACCAGGGGGAATGGGTCTTCTTGGTCCAGCACCCCCACCATCTGGTCCTCCAGACTCTAGACTAGGTATATTGGGTCAGCATCCTGGTCCAGAACAGAACCAAGACCATGATATGAGAAGATCAGGAGATATGGATGAAGAAAGAGAYCCRCATGAAACGCGTGTTCATCCAAATGATTTAAGCTCYAGAGGATTTCGACGGGGAATGGGCAGAGGTGGTGGTCCTAGAAGGGGAAATGATTCAAACAGACAACAAGACCAAGGTGAAGAAAGAAACGGCGACAACCGTCCTCGAGGACCTCCGTTTCAAAGGGGCTTTAATCCAAACGGTAGAGGAGCACCTCAGGGACCTGATGATAACAGGCGTCCATGGCAACCTGAACCTTCAGATCCTAGATTTCGCAGGCATGATGGGCCTCCTGATCGACGGCCGTTTGACCGACCACAGTGGGATGAGCCACTGGATGATCTTCCTCGAGATGACATGGGTCAACCAAATCACCACGGAAGGGAGTTTGCTCCTCATGATCCCAGAGCAGGGCCTTATTATGGACGGGGACCTCCTAATGATTTGGACCCCAGGGGAGCCGACCCACCCGAAAGACGTTCTTCAGACGATTCTCAGAGATCTCAGGATAACAAGCCCCGACCTCTTATGAGTCTTATGAGTATTAATACAATTGTCCCTCCTAGAAACCATGAACGTGATGAACCGGACAGACCTGCTTTGCATAGAAAACGTTCAGGTGAAGGAGAACATGACAGAGAGTGGGACTGTCCACCTCAACAAAAACTTAGGTTTCCTCCYTCTGGACCACCAGAAGAAAGACACGATATCAGGGAGGGGAGACCGTTTCCTGAGGATCAAGTTGGATGGAGAGGAAGGGGWGGAATGAGATGACRAAAGTAGGTCACTTGAGTTGCGAATAGAGTGTGTCGTTTTTGTACATGTACAATGCCTTAGTTTTCATAATTACGTGAAGGCAATTACAACAGAAATCTACAGTACATGAAGATCCATTCGTCTCGTCCGTACCCACCACCCAGATATGTGTCTGATTTGCTTTTCATTTTGGTCAGCATGAAACCACACAGAAATCTTGCCGTTGAATGTCAGCCGTCATGTATGTTGGAATGCTGAATTGCTGAATTCGCATTATTTGGAAAATGGTCAATCAAGATATACTGTACAGGCTCGACAACTTGAAGGAATATACATATATACATAAACATTAACATTGCGATTATCATTGAACTTCTGTCATTCACGATTCATGTACAGAAAAGAATGTCCTTGTAATCATAAAATACGACAAAACAAAAATAGTAAATGACTTTATTTAGTAATCTTGTGACCTGTTCTATTGTATTTCACAGTGAAGTCATCAAACTCGTGAAACAAAATTTGAYTAGCGTTCAAGAAGCACTATTTTGCACAATTCGGTAGGACTCATTCTAGCACCATAAAGCTCACTTTATCTACCATATTTGAGAATATGAGCGCAATAATGAAATTCGCACCGGGTGTGAATATGTGAAAATGTGAGTCACCGGTTATCAAGCTCGATTTATCTACGTAAAATGGTGGGAACTAGCGGTAAACTAGTATGAGCTGCGTCGGTGTTTCTAAAGAAACAGTTGTGTAAAAAAGATAAGTTTAACACCGTAAAAAAGTATGGGATTTATCTACCATATTTCAGAATATGAGCGCAAAAATGAAATTCCCACCGGGTGTGAATATGTGAAATTGTGAGTCACCGGGTATCAAGCTCGATTTATCTACCATATTTGAGAATATGAGCGTAAAGAAATTCGCACCGGGTGTGAATATGTGCAAAT